CCTGTTATTGGCGATACAACATGATATCCGACACACCCACCCACACTCGGAAAAGCCTTTTTCACTACTTCTAGAAATATTAAATTTTGCAGTGTTATTCTTTTTTTTTTCCTAAGGTTGAATAATTGAAAACTTGTCTCTTATTAACCCATTTGGCTCTCTCTGGTTTGATCAGGAATGTGTCACCACTTGCCAAAAAATTCAAGTGTGAGATTTTCTAAAAGGCACTAGTGCTACGTCATAAAGCTTATGTTTTGGTATTATGTTTCTGCAGATTTTAGGTTGGTGGGAAGCGGAAAAAAGAGATGCATCTCTTTCAACGACACCTATTCACTTACGTATACGGTACAAGGAAACAACAGTGTAGTCAGCTTCAAGGTGAGTGAAAACACTAAAGAAACTCCCTCTGCAGGCTTACATTTGTGAAACCGAAAAATCCTTTTTTGAAAAATAGACTTTCCGATTATCCTATACCGCAATAGATTTAATAAATAGGTTCAATTTTGCCGGTGAGTGTCTTTTTAGTTAGATATCACAACTTTGACGTCAAAATGTGGCGAGAGAAAAAATGATGGCAAAGCCCTGCCATAGGAACGTGCGCTAGCTCACTATATAGGACCAAGCATTTTGATTTCCCCCATGATTCACAACTGATCGAAGACACCACACACAGCAAAATAAAATCTATGAGTCTGTTATTTGAGAAAAGTTAGAACGCGGTTTAAAGTCGTTAGCTCTCAAAAGTTATTTACAATTATTTTTAAGCAGAGTTCTTGGCGGGAAAATGTAAATGCCCCGAGAATCGCCTGGACTTTTTTCGGAAGTACTACCCGTTGCACTACCGCAATATATGCAGCGAATTTCTTGCTTTCGGATTGGCTGTATTCTTTATGGCATGGGATAAATTGACGTATAAATGGTTATTGCATGAATGCTATTTATATTTTTAGTTATGTTACTCTAAATTCTGTAAATCCTTTTCACTCATATGGCCTACACCTATGCAAAGTTATTGGAACAAAAGGACGTTTTTACATAGGAAAACGTTTTAACTCCCACGGTAATGGTTAGGAAAGCAACAATGCCGTTTTTCTATTGCTTTTGGGACACTAATATGGCGGAAGTGTCGTCATGTAAAAATGCGCTATTTAAAACCCAAGAGACATTCAATCGGATTCTTTGGTGAAAAGTGTTGCTGGAAGAGCATTCCTAAGAATCCCTCTCTGATACTTGTATGTATATCGTAATTGATAATAATCGTCACTAGTAATAATTTCACCATTGAATTGTTACATATAGAAGATACAGTCGATCTTTTTTGCTTTTTCAGAATGTTTCCTGCCACAGTAAAGATAATGTCAATAAAGTATGGCTTACTGCAAAACTTAGCGTGACTGTCAAGAGTAAGCATAAACGTTTTAACGTGTTTTACTACAAACAAGGAAAAGGGTTCATGTGCCTTACTCGCGGCTGTACTGGAACCTTGAACGTAACTCGTGTTTTAAAAATTAAAAATAACTCATTAATAGACCGAAAATGTTTCTTTTCTACTTATAATAAATGATGATAAGTTAATGTGACAGAACAGAATGGGGTTTTATTTACGGTTGTGTGACATAATTCTTTATCAATTTAAGGTAATTTTCCTATTTTTAGAGTCTTTTTTACTTGTAACGTTAAAGATGTATCGCATTCCATAGAAAGAAATGAACTGGACTTTTAAAGCTACGGTGCTACCGTTAATATTTCTTACGCTAGTCACTAACATTGGCAGTGTACATTACCAGTCAGTTCATTAATACAATTATTCTCCGCCATGGTAATGAATAAGCAAGTTAAAAATAAGAGGATCTTGACCGCTGGCCGTCTGTTTGCAGCTCGATGGAGCCGATATGCATAATTATACCAATGCAGCCAACTCGACAAGCTAACATCGAACAGTATCGAGTGATTGCAAAGCTAATAGTCAATTAATCAAAGGGCACGATACTGGGGGGGGTACTTGGGTTAATTTTTGCTGGGTGTGTGCCGCTGGCCTCTCAGAGCCAGTACCCCATTATAGTAGTTTATTTTGTGGCCAATTATACAGACCCCATCTTAGTCACTTTTGAGCAAATATGTAACTTTCGCTATGCCACCTAATTAGTCACTTTCTATTTTTATGAATTGAACAATGTTTTAGATTGAATGAAGAACACTTTACTTTTCTCCTACAGTGCAAACATTCTTGTACGTTTGCTAACCGTAAATATGAAAAACTATTGTCTTACCCCTAAAAATCGGAAAATGTGCGACCTCATTATAGTCAATCGAGTCGTGAAAATGCAACCGCATCCAGCGGCACATCCCATCAGCCTCTTATAAGGAAGTACCCCCTCCCCTCCCCCCCTCCCCCTTGCGGTACTGACTGCGTTAAGTAGTACATAACTTCATGGGAAACGCCTGCCGAAGACTCCCAACCTCCTGAGGACGAGGTTGAAAGATTCCATGTGAAAAAGGTGGTGATGCTGGCCGGAAAAAACTAAAATTAAACCCGAAGAAAGCCAGCCCTGCGCGTCGCAATTATCAGCTGCATTGTTTAACCTCTAAATAATTAATAAAAGTAGAATTTAGGACAACCATGTAACCAGTGTAGCCGTAAATTATATTGTAATAAAGAGAGCAGTTGTTATTATTCTATTTTCTCTCCTCTCTTCTTTTTTGCTTACCTTTTCTTGACATCCCGTGAAGTGATAATTGAGCAGCAAAGCAGAATTTTAATGGCGGTCCATTCCCTATAAGTAATGCCTAGTTCTATAACTATGTGACGACGAATATCCGAGCCCTTTCGTTCTGGAGCTAGTCATTAAGCAACAGTCGTCCGTGTCTCAGTTTGTCGGAAATGGTGACAGTGAAGTGAAACGGCTGAAGTCCACTGAAGGATGTGCATGAATGATATGTTCATTGTAAACGGGGCTTACTTACAGTAAGCTTCGTTAACGACACCGTCCGCTCGCCACATACAACAAAAGCTGATTTCCAGGGCGGCGCGTAGGCAAACACGCAATACAGATTCAATTTGTGTTGGTGTTCCGTGGGGATGCGAAATGTGACAAATTTTTTAGAGAATAATTTATTTCGTAAAATTTACACAATGCAGCTATTTTTACAATATATGTTGGTGCGAGGTTTGGAGATTATAGGTACGGTTTTAAAATATTTACACACAAATTAAGGAATCTGAGCGATCCAGCAGAAGGCAAAGAGGCAAGTTTGCCTTTAAATTCGGAAAGCTATCGTGCAGTTTTGCCTCGTAAGAAAGATTGTTCCAACGCGTTGCACCACTATACTAAAACTACGTTTGAGGAAATTCGTTTTTGGCCTTGGAAGTGCTAGATCAGTTTTAAGATTCCTAAGATTATGGTTGGTGCTACTATCTTTGAGTTTTGTAAGGGGCTCTTTGATAGAGAGAGATTGATCATTGAGAGAGTTTTGTACATTTGGGTAGCCTTGACAAGTGAACGACTGGTTTCGAGGTTTTTCCATTTCAAATTATTATCATTTACAAGCACATCTACCAATCTTATGTCATATGATATGATAAATACGTCAATCATATTATTAAAGAGACTACCTGCGACCCAGACATTAGAATTTCAAGGTTCCAGTGGCACTGGTCGTTAACTGCTTGTGAAGGGTGCCGGCTTTTTGAAAAAGCTTAAAAGATTTTCAAACGGACCTCCCCATTTCATCCTAGCTTTTTAAAAATGACCCCCGTTGCTATGGAAACTACGAATATTCTAGCTACAAATCTTGTCGAAGTTCGCCACAGAGAGTCGAACCTCCATGAGCGACCACCTCTCGTAAGCGACCATCTCCCATAAACGACCGTCAATCCAAAACACCAAAATTTTCGCAGTCAAGACCTTACAGTTGGAGCCTCTGTTAAACGACCACCTCCTGTAAGCGACCAGGGCCGTCTTTTGGGCCTGGAAGGTTAATGATGTTTAACCTCTTGTAAGCGACCACCTGACGTATTTTCTCATCTCTATGTTTCCTGTGTACACTGTGCTACTTTGAATATACGAAGAACTTTAGTGACAACATATATGAAGCACACATGGCGTAACTTAGACATTGCATGTAATAAATCATCTTCCATAAAGTAGATGTGCCAGGACCTCTTCTCGGATGAGGCCCCCTATGGTTCGATTTTTGTAAACGGCCAGCCCCCGTAAGCGACCACTAAACTTTGCATTTTGGATGGTCGCTTAACACGGGAGGTTCGACTGCACTTTATCTCCAGTAGTGTTTCTAAGATCAGTGTCTACCATTCCCGGGTGTTGAATTTAATTTCAATTTTGCTACTGCCTTTGTATTACTTTCATGAAATTTATTAAAATGGCCCTCCAGGTAACGTTCCCTCATCTGAAAAGGACCACCCAAAATCAATCAAGATTTTGAAAATATTAATGATCCCATGGCCAGAAATCACGGACATTTGAGCCTGAGCTGTGGTATGCGGCTTTCTTCTTAACAACAGAGAATCCAATATGGCGGACAAAAAGCAGCTTTCCTCGTAGATTACGCACAGCTTCATAATATTTCACGTCCAGCCGAAAATCCAAAAGAAGGAAGCTGTACGAGGTGGAGAAAATAATCGAGTGGCGGAAAACCAAACATGTGAGTCGATTTTTCGTGTCAATCCTTAAAGTTGATCCATTTATGAAGCTAATGAGGCAAAACGGCGGCCCCCTTCCCCTCACGGGTTAAAACGGCCAGCCCCAGGGTAGCTTTATACACCAGAATTTAGTATCATAATCAGCCTATAAAACAATTCCCATTATGCCTTATCAAGTTTTTGCGGGATACATCTCGTCAACAAACTACGTAGTCATTAGTGAAAAAAGGATTCAGGTTTATTGATTTGACTAACTTACAACGCTATTGAAGACATAAATTGAACTAGAAGACCAAATTACCATATATTACCTTCATAATATATTTACGTTACATAAACTCTATTTTAATTTCTTGTGTTTAATGTGCCTAATCTTATTCCTTTTCGCGTTATTTTGAGTTTTCCCTGGAGTCATTTCTTTCATCTGGACTTGGGGATGGCCATGTATTTGTGTGACGGCTATCGGGTGTCCCTGAACACTTGGTTTTACTTGTAAATTTGTCTTTGCCTGCTGTGGTACCAAAGCCACCTTTGGGCTATTTAGTGATAATTCAACTTTTTTCGGCATAATGTTCTGCGTGTCTTTCACAAGCGCCTTTTTTGCAGGGATTTGAGACTTTTTACAGCAGTTTAATTTAGGGCAGAAACCAACACAAAATTTATCACAAATAGCTGGACATGCATGTAGGGAGGGACTAGTTGCCGGTATTCCTGGGGTACCAGGTGGACCCGGTGGTCCTGGGGGTCCTGCAGCTCCCTGATCGCCTTGATCCCCAGGTGCTCCCATAGCTCCCATTGCTCCCTGGTCTCCTTGAGGACCCTTAGGTCCAGTAAAGCCTGGAAAAAATGAGGTTTTAATCTTTAGAAATTTGAGCCCCCTATCTATAAAGCTACATCCCAAGTTGCTCAGGCATTCGGAAGTACTCACCAGTGGAACCAGAAGCTCCAGCAGCAGCTGGAGTTATGGAGGCAGTGCTTGTGAAAGTAGCAGGAATACCGGAAGGTCCTGGTGGCCCCGGTGGTCCAGGGGGTCCTGCTGCTACTTGATCACCTTGATCCCCTGGTGCTCCCATAGCTCCCATTGCTCCCTGGTCACCTTGAGGACCCTTAGGTCCAGTAAAGCCTGGGACATAAAATAGAGGTTTTAATCTTTAGAGATTTTAGCCCCCTATCTATAAAGCTACACTCCAAGTTGCTTAGGCATTCGGAAGTACTCACCAGTGGAACCAGAAGCTCCAGCAGCAGCTGGAGTTATAGAGGCAGTGCTTGTGAAAGTAGCAGGAATACCGGAAGGTCCTGGTGGCCCCGGTGGTCCAGAGGGTCCTGCGGCTCCTTGATCACCTTGATCCCCTGGTGCTTCCATAGCTCCCATTGCTCCCTGGTCACCTTGAGGACCCTTAGGTCCAGTTAAGCCTGGAACATAAAATAGAGGTTTTAATCTTTAGAGATTTTAGCCCCCTATCTATAAAGCTACACTCCAAGTTGCTTAGGCATTCGGAAGTACTCACCAGTGGAACCAGAAGCTCCAGCAGCAGCTGGAGTTATAGAGGCAGTGCTTGTGAAAGTAGCAGGAATACCGGAAGGTCCTGGTGGCCCCGGTGGTCCAGGGGGTCCTGCGGCTCCTTGATCACCTTGATCCCCTGGTGCTCCCATAGCTCCCATTGCTCCCTGGTCACCTTGAGGACCCTTAGGTCCAGTTAAGCCTGGAACATAAAATAGAGGTTTTAATCTTTAGAGATTTTAGCCCCCTATCTATAAAGCTACACCCCAAGTTGCTTAGGCATTCGGAAGTACTCACCAGTGGAACCAGAAGCTCCAGCAGCAACTGGAGTTATGGAGGCAGTGCTTGACGAAGTAGCAGGAATACCGGAAGGTCCTGGTGGGCCCGGTGGTCCAGGGGGTCCTGCAGCTCCTTGATCCCCTTGATCCCCTGGCGCTCCCATAGCTCCCATCGCTCCCTGGTCTCCCTGAGGACCCTTGGGACCAGTTGCACCTGAAGAAATGGAGTTATATTGATAAGAAACTCGAACATCTAATATTCATGAAACAGCATCCCCAAAACCATTAATTGTAATTTCAGTTTCAGTTTATTAGCCAGAAAAATATATATGTATAAAAACAGACATTCAGTACATTACAAAAATATCAGTTAAATATTAAAGAGACGTAATTGTATGTAAAAGAATTAAAAGTATTTTTCTGACGAGGAAGCTCAAATTGAAACCTTGGGGTTTATTGTATGAGCTCTCTCCTTAACCCAAGACTAATAATCATTATTATTCATTCAAAATATTTCCCGATTCTGGTTGGCTAAAAGCACGTGCATAATTCACCATAACCAGCTACTGATGACCAAATTTGCAATAATTTTGCGATTAATCAACTGATGACGTCAAAAGTGAAGCTTTATTGTAGGTTAATGCACCGTTAACCGAGATGACCTGGGACAATGTTGAGTTGTTTTGGTTGTGAAAACAAAAATGGCGGACATTTCACTCGTTTCAAGAGTACGAACTGGGCGAAATAATAGCTAAAACCACGGCAAGAACAGCAAGAAGACATCTCGAAGGGCGACATCTGCTATTTGGAGAATATTTGCGGAGCTGAACAATCCTAAACGTACTCTATCGAAGATCAACTTAAGAGAGTGTCTCTGTAAGAGCGGTCCGGTCGATTTTCCTTGAGACACAGATTTAGCTCATTTCTTGTGTGTTGTAAGACATTCATGTACCTATACTAAAACCACAATCCGTTTGATCGAATCTCTTTATTTTTCAGAGTTTTACGGAAATTAAATTTCACTCGAGCGAAGGCCTGTCGTGACACTTTTCAAGACGTTAATTTGAGGCAACTTTGCCGGACAATTTACAACAAACTACGGAACTCAGCAAAAAACAAATACCACAGCCATGTATATTAACACTATCTTATCCATCGACGCGACATTCGTGAACATCACGTTTCAATCAAGCAAACAGGAAGACTTGAACGACACCTTATCGGTTCGCTTAAGTCACACACGCGAAAACCGATCAAATTCAAGGTACATTTTTGAAAAAGTGAGGCGTTGTTAACTGATCCAACTAATATAGCTAGGAAGTAGGTGCCATAGAAAAGGTAACTACGGAAAAAAACTTTGCGGCCCGACCTTTACTAAAACTTTATAACTGCGTGAACTTACCTCATTTTCGGCAATCTCCAAGTTTTGCCGCCATTTTGAGGACTTGTCAACATGAAGCGTAGCAGATATAAATCGAGCAGGTAGATCTAAAACAGTCAGAAATACATACGAAAGTATTCAAATGAACTTCACTTTCAATTCAAGGGGCAAAATTTGACACTGTTCGTTAAACCTACCATTCCTACATCCCCATGCGACCATTTCTTCCAACAATTCAAACACTACAACTAGTGACCACTAGTGTTCGAATTTCCCTTGTCGATTCCACCGTAAGAAATAACCTGTGCCCCCCAAGCTTCGACTCGAATGTGAAGTACGAATCAAACAAATAACTACGTCATCTTCGAGGCCATATCACGCTGGTATTTTGATTTTCTGATCGACAAGAACGGTGATCAGGAGGTGATCGCCATGTTTACCTCACAAAGGTGACCGCTGACCATAGGAAGCTATTGGACCTTCTATTAAGCCGTAGCCGCTGAGTGAAAACAGTACGCCGCGGGGTGGTGTGGGTGGCGGACTTATCGTGATAAGATATTCGAATACACGCTAAAAAAGCTTTGGGACTCTCAGTCTAAACAGTGAAGGCATGCTTCGTGGTACAGACAACTTTTGGTTTATTCTCATAACTTTTTCCTTTAAATTAGAACTGGTATTAATTAATAGAGTTATTTAAATATTTTTAACCGAGGTACCCATATGAGCTTTTTGCTTGTCCTCAGTGGTGTAAAATGAGGTGTCTTTTCTTCCAGACCCTTTTATTTATGCGTTATTGCACGGAATGAACACTATACTTAGAAGGTTTGTTCTAAGTCATTTTTGCTGTTCCCAAGAATGTATGCAAAATCATTGCTTTATACAAATCTGACTCTAAAATATGATTTTCCGTGATAGTAACTAATGTCATTTACGTAAGGTGTTAATAAAACAAGTAATGTACAATTTTTAGTGTTTTCCACTTATAAGCCTGACATACAATTGTCAAGTGAACTATGTTAGCTTCAGCTCATTTCTTGATTCGATGTGACCTTTTATCACTAAACCCTATTCTTTTCATTTGCAATTTTCTTGTACTTTTTTTTCATGCGACAACGACGAAGAGTCTTATAAGTAAACTGATTTTTTGGTGTACCACGCTTATCACATTGTATATACAAATACATGCAAAAGGTCGGCTAAATAAGCTCCTCCTCCTGCTCCTAATTTTTTGGGTTGCCTTCGCGCCATGCCTCTGCACGACTTCCATTTAAATGGGAGCTCGAAGAAAGTACAGATTTTCTTAAGCATGGAAACAGTAAAATAGTTCAATTTTCCCTCCTTGACGTAGTCACACGTACAAGTCATAAATGTCATAGACAATCGGATGCGTCAAGCCAATTTCTGTTACAACTGATTCGACAGTGGTCATGTGATTCACTTCTTCCTCGTCAATTAATTCCTCGTCAGATTTATCGTCAACCGCGGTGCTCGGAGACGAACCTGCCCGTCTCCATCTTGAGGAGGACAAACGGAAGAAAAATCCTTGTATTTGGGCTTTGGTCAGCCACTCTTCCCGGGAAAACAGGCGCTCCCCGTTTTCCCCCTTTGCTTTCCTCATATCTTGCGAGACTTGTCGCAGATCCTCTTTACTTCCAGATTGCTCACCAATTTCAAACTTGGAGGTGAGATACTGCCTTACTTTCTCTTAGAAGCGAACAGCGCCACCTTTTGGCTTATGAAGTGCCCATCCTTCACTTAAATTCGACTGGAAAGGTTCGCTACCCTGTCTCTCGATAACGTTGGTACTGCCGTCTTCTGAAAGGGTAAGGGATGAGGATTTTTCAACCCAGCTTAAATCTAGTGATTTCAAAGCTGTTCTAATGTCAAAAATAAAGGAAATGACCCATGAATTAATTCCAGTGCTCAGTGGAAGGATAATTACACCATCAAGCAGTGACCCAATGGCCCTTGTAGCTGTCTATAAAGGAGAGATTGTAAGTTGGCTATGAAAATTACACTTTTTTCTCTTTTGCTTTGACTTTGTGAGGTGGTTTTGTCACAATTTGAACGGACATGCGTCACTCTTACGTAATGTTTTAACGAGAAACCAAACAGCATCATTTTATTTCCAAGTAGGTATATATTCAGCCGTTCTTAGCCACCATTTTGTGAGAACAAAGTATATGTATATATTAAGAGTAGTACAAAAAAAAACAGTTTACTTGTAAAAACCTTCGTGTTTTTTATATCTTTACACACTTATAAAAAAATGGAAAGGGTAAATGGAGAAAAAAAAAATGTGTCCTGCATAGCAGTCTTTCAAATTTCCTTTTAGCCGACAGTGAGTCGTGCAGAGGCATGGGGCGAAGGCAACCCAAAAAATTAGGAGCAAAGGGAAGAACTTATTTAGCCGGCCTTTTGCATGTATTTGAATATACAACGTAATAAGCGTGGTACACCAAAGAATCGGTTTACTTATAAAACTCTTTGTCGTTGTCATATGAAATAAAAAGTACAGGAAAATTGCAAATGAAAAGAATGGGGTTTAGTGATAAAAGGTCACATCGAATCAAGGAATGAGTTGAAACTAACATAGTTCACTTGACAATTGTATGTCAGGCTTATAAGTGGAAAACGCTAAAAATTGTACATTGCTAGTTTTATTAACATCTTACCTAAATGACATTGGTTACTGTTACGGAAAATCATTTTTTAGAGTCAGCTTTGTATAAAGCTATAATTTTGCATACATTCTTGGGAACAGCAAAATGATTTAGAACAAACCTTCTAAGTCTAGTGTTCATTCCGTGCAATAACGCATAAATAAAAGGTTCTGGAAGAAAAGACACCTTATTTTATACCACTGAGGACAAGAAAAAAGCTCATATGGGTACCTCGGTTAAAAATATTTAAATAACTCTATTAATTAATACCAGTTCTAATTTAAAGGAAAAAGTTATGAGGATAAAATAAAAGTTGTCTGTACCATGAAGCATGCCTTCACTGTTTAGACTGAGAGTCCTAAAGCTTTTTTAGCGTGTATTCGAATATCTTATCACGATAAGTCCGCCACCCACACCACCCCGCGCCGTACTGTTTTCATTCAGCGGCTGGTCAGCGGTCACCTTTATCAGGTAAACATGGCGATCACCTCCTGATCACCGTTCTTGTCGATCAGAAAATCAAAATACCAGCGTGATATGGCCTCGAAGATGACGTAGTTATTTGTTTGATTCGTACTTCACATTCGAGTCGAAGCTTGGGGGGCACAGGTTATTTCTTACGGTGGAATCGACAAGGGAAATTCGAACACTAGTGGTCACTAGTTGTAATGTTTGAATTGTTGGAAGAAATGGTCGCATGGGGATGTAGGAATGGTAGGTTTAACGAACAGTGACAAATTTTGCCCCTTGAATTGAAAGTGAAGTTCATTTGAATGCTTTCGTATATATTTCTGACTGTTTTAGATCTACCTGCTCGATTTATATCTGCTACGCTTCATGTTGACAAGTCCCTCAAAATGGCGGCAAAACTTGGAGGTTGCCGAAAATGAGGTAAGTTCACGCAGTTATAAAGTTTTAGTAAAGGTCGGGCCGCAAAGTTTTTTTCCGTAGTTACCTTTTCTATGGCACCTACTTCCTAGCTATATTAGTTGGATCAATTAACAACGCCTCACTTTTTCAAAAATGTGCCTTGAATTTGATCGGTTTTCGCGTGTGTGACTTAAGCGAACCGATAAGGTGTCGTTCAAGTCTTCCTGTTTGCTTGATTGAAACGTGATGTTCACGAATGTCGCGTCGATGGATAAGATAGTGTTAATATACATGGCTGTGGTATTTGTTTTTTGCTGAGTTCCGTAGTTTGTTGTAAATTGTCCGGCAAAGTTGCCTCAAATTAACGTCTTGAAAAGTGTCACGACAGGCCTTCGCTCGAGTGAAATTTAATTTCCGTAAAACTCTGAAAAATAAAGAGATTCGATCAAACGGATTGTGGTTTTAGTATAGGTACATGAATGTCTTACAACACACAAGAAATGAGCTAAATCTGTGTCTCAAGGAAAATCGACCGGACCGCTCTTACAGAGACACTCTCTTAACATCGATGGAGGTAAGCATGTTTTAGCTAGGTATTTAAACTAGGAATTATTTTGAATGAATAATCAAACAATTATTGAATTTGGCGTTCGTATCATATGAAGAATTATGGAGATCGTATCTCCGTAATTCCTCATAAGATACTCAGCTTCATTCATTAATTGTTAAATAAATAAGCGGCGAAATCATACTGAAACATAATTAGGATAAAAAGCAAGCAAAACAAAACAGAAAAAAGGAAAAAACAAGTATTATTTACAAATGGTGAATCAGCTAAAATGAAATGTTTTCAAGATAGTAGTAGCAGCACTTTTTATATCGTAATTAAGTGAATTGAAAATTTTAGGACCCTTATATTCGTTCGTGCAGGAAATAAGTAGTGTGTTTTTGAATTTCTGGTATTATGGTAATGAACTTGATTGGTCGTTAAAAACGTTCCTTTGAATACATTAGGAAGCAGGCTTAATTTATAAGAATACATAAACTTTCCAAGTTGAAAAAAGTAAATTTCAGAGAACTCAGTATTTGCAATCTTTTGAATATGAGCTAATATAGGATCAGTGTGAGAATCAAATGACTTCTTGGAAATAATTCGAATTTTTTTTCTGAATTATGACTATACAATTCAAGACGTCCTGACCTGTGGGACCAGATGCTCCTGCAGCTGGACTAACAGGGGCAGCGCTCGCAGAAGTAGAAGGTATTCCGGGAAGTCCTGGTGGCCCCGGGGGTCCAGGGGGTCCTGCGGCTCCTTGATCACCTTGATCCCCTGGTGCTCCCATTGCTCCCATTGCTCCCTGGTCTCCTTGAAGACCCTTAGATCCCGTCATACCTGAATGATTCAAAATTTGCAACGGAAACAAGATTGAAGCAATATGGTCTGTACAACATAAACTTGCCAATTGAAAGTTGATTTGCCTTGCCTTACCTACAACTATGATTTTATTTTTTTGTTTGTTTAATATTCTGTGCTGCATCTAATAAATTGCCCTAGATTTCAATCTATTGAAAGGCATATTTTCATGATTAGAAGTATAGCGTGAGTTTAATGGGAAATCTCCCGATAGTAATAAATCAGAACGTAAGGTAACAAAACATTGCTTAAATAGAGCATGCATTCTACTTTTTGAGAAGTAAAGCTGTTTCACGTTAGATTAGTGACAAATAACATCAGACTCCACTATCGATCCACTAGTAATCTATATGCCTACAAAACGTCAATGGGAAATTCAAAATTCAATGTTTCCGACGTCATTACACTGTTTTTTTTCCCGACTTTTTAAGGGCTCAAAACATGATTCGAGTTGATCGAGGGTAAAATTATATAGAAATGATCTGAGGGGAAACAAAAATTACTTTGAGTTAGAGGGAGGTTCGAGTTATCGAGTGTAAAATTACAGTAGATGAATGACGGAAATCGAGGGGAAATCGATTTTGGTTCGATTTAGCGCGAGGTTCGAGTTAGCGAGGGTTCGAGATATCGGGAGTTAACTGTAGAATCTCCTACCTGTCGGTCCAGCTGCTCCAGAAGCCGCAGAGGTGAAGGAAGGTGTTACAGAAGACGCGTTTGTAGCTGGTGGACCAGGTATGCCTGGAGGACCAGGTGGTCCTGGTGGTCCGGAAAATCCTGCCGATCCGGGGTCTCCCTGAGCACCAGGTGCTCCCATCGCTCCCATTTCCCCTTGTGAACCTTGGGGTCCTACTGGTCCTTATTTAAAGAAAAAGCTTGCAACGTCAACTTACTTGATATGAAATGGTAAATGCTTTGTTTCTGATTAAAGTGCACTTAGTTCTACAGACACAAGTAATAAGAGACAAATATTACAAATATAACATAAAGGGATTAAAATCGAAGGTGGCAGAAAGCAACCAGTAGGCTAGGGAGACCGAGACCCAATGGCAGCCAGTGGTCACATCGGGCATGGGGTCTAAAGATCCTTAGAACAAACGGATTTACGAGGTCCATTGTTTTTGTCATTGGGGTTGAAAATAATTAAACACTCTTTAATGAAAGCTTTTCTTTCAACCAGTGATGTGGAGAAACCACATCTTTTCCCGACCAAGCTTTAAGCTTACAGTTCAAGCTTACAGTTGAACGACAGTCGATTCACAAAGGGAATTCTTTAAATAGTCAGTATGAGGAGAATTTAAAGTGCGACAATTCAAAAGAGAAAATGCTTTTCAGCACTTCTTTTCAATGACATTATTTTTTTTTCTAGCGGACTACATTTACTGACACTACAAAAGAATAAGGATTTTACCTGTTGCACCTTGTGAACCAGTGGAATCTGCAGGAGCGGCCGGGCCTACTGGTTCTAATATCACAAAAAAAAATACGAAATTTAGTCATAATAACTGATATCATTATCGTCGTCATCATCGTCACCATAACAAAGTCATCATCATCATTACTACCGTTATAATGATTTCGTAGTATCGTCATAATGATTTCACAAGCACCGCTAAAGAGTGCCGCAGCAGCTGGCTGACCAACCAATACAATTAATATCCATTAAGCGTCTCTGCATTCGTAAATTGGACTGTAAACTATCGTCTAGTGGACCGTGCGCGTTCTATCTGAGCGTTCTTAATGAAATATTATGAGAAGGCGTGTGTGGCCGAGCGGTTTATACCTTGAACTCCGGATCTGGAGGGCTTCGCCCGTCGCGTTGTTTCCTTAGACAAGGAACTTTACTCCACATTGTCTCTCTTCAACCAGGTGTATAAATGGGTACCGGCGACATACTGCTGGGCGGTAACCTTACGATGGACTAGCATCTCGTCTTTCTTCGCATGCTTCATGCTAATGAAACCGGGATAAGTCGTTTGGGGCTTTTGCTCGTGTACGCCTTTAACTTTTTTACCTAATCGGTTATTATACTTTTGCATATTCTCTCACCGCCATATTGAGTCAGAATTAAGGAAATGATAGTAAAGAAGAAGACTTCGATACAAACTATTTCATATCATCACAAACTTCTAAAGTATCCACGGCTAAAGATTATATCCTCAACTGCAAAGCCCACCAGCTGGTAAAGCCGCCTGGCACCTACCCGTTGGTTTGTGATTTGGTGTTGCTCCATCATCAGGCCAAACTGGCAAGGGTACTCCTAAAAATAGAAGGGAGAAACAGCCTCTCATTGTAATTATCTAAGCCCTGTCCGCTCTGGTAGCCACTTCTGATCCACAAAGGAAAGCCAAAGTTAATGAGAATGATATTAAGTAATAGTGGTTATAGTCAACTGTAGATTCTTTAGAGAAACAGCCTCTCATTATAAATATCTAAGCCCCATGTGCTCTGGTAGTTACTTCTGATCCACAAAGGAAAGCCAAAGTTAATGAGAATGGTATTAAGTAATACTGGTTATAGTCAACTGTAGATTCTTTTGATTTTGCCACTAATTAAATAAGTTCTTTAATTGAGAGGAGACCCCAGTAGCAGTAGATAACATCCCTTGGTGGTGAGTAGCTTAGGTTAGATGAAGCAACGAGAATAATGAAAGGTGACCAGAGGGAAAATCATCTGACTTGATGAAGCACCTTATATATATCGGTACAGTTATTTTGCTAAGACTTCGTATAGTTTGTATTTACACGACTGTAACTCAAAAACTGTCAGCTACTTTAAAAAGGTATTCAAGACACTTCTCTTTATTGTAATACGTTTCCAGCAGTGAGTCGACCGTGGGCAACCTTGGCGAACTTATGGTGAGCGTAAATTCAGGTTCTGCGAGCTCAGCGAATTTACTTAAACTCAGTAGACTATAGATGGCATCACTAAAATCTAATTTAAATATGATTGAAAGTAAACCTGCTGGCCAAGGCTTTCCAGGTGGTGGACCATATAATATAGGTGGTGCTGTTGCCGGAGGTCCTGGAGGTCCCGGTGGACCAGGGGCACCCGGATCGCCAACTGCTCCTGGGGAGCCTTGATTGCCCACAGCTCCTGCTGTTCCAGATGCTCCATCCGCTCCTGTTCCCACTTCTGGCCCACTCGGAAGAGGAACGCCTGAAATAGCCAAAGTCGCATGGGTAAACACTATGTTCAGAAACTCATGTTGTCTGCACGTCAAAGCATGTTTTCAGCGTTACGCCTTGTAGTTGGCAGACCTTCGCTCCCTTTGATAATTTCATAGCATTATTGTAATGGTTTGGAGATTAACACATTTTTGGAAATTTTTTTGTTGGAATATTTACTAGAACTTCGAAAGTAAAATATGAATATAGTACCTGTGCAAACCTACGCGCTTGTTTCCTCGCTCTCTTCAAACTTATGTACGTACAAACTCACAATAAATTGAAGCAAGTTTGTAATACCTGCTGGCCAAGGTTTCCCAGGTGGTGGACCATATAAAATAGGTGGTGCTGTTGCCGGGGGTCCTGGAGGTCCCGGTGGACCAGGGGCGCCCGGATCGCCAACTGCTCCTGGGGAGCCTTGATTTCCAGCAACTCCTGCTGTTCCCGTTGCTCCATCCGCTCCTGTTCCCATCTCTGACCCACTCGGGAGAGGAACTCCTAACATGCCGAAGTCGCATGGGGTTAAGTTACATGTATATACTGTTGTCTTCTCCAAGTCAAAGCATGTTCTCATCTTTACGCCGATGAAGTCGGCAGATCATCATTTCATAATTATGAGGAATTATTGCACTGATTTTGGGAATAATCCTTGATTTTCCTGCAATACTCACAAAAACTATTGCAAATGAAATCTGATACAGTACCAGTGTAACTAGTGCGAAATTATAAGTTTGGTTTCTCATTCTCTTAACCAAGAACGTACATGTTCTAACTAAAAATACCTCCTTGGGTATATCTGAGTATTTTGTCCGCAAATTTTTAATACCTGCTGGCCAAGGTTTTCCCGGTGGGGGACCATATAAAATAGGTGGTGCTGTTGCCGGAGGTCCTGGAGGTCCCGGTGGACCAGGTGCCCCTGGGTCTCCCATTGTACCAGGGGAGCCTTGATTTCCCTGTGCCCCTGCTGTTCCTGGTGCTCCGTCAGGTCCAGTTCCTCCTTCCTTGCTGGTCCAGGTTGGCAGCGGTACACCTGCGATAAGAGTGCCAGGAATAGATCAGGGCTCAAATTAACAGCCGGTTAAGGGACAATATCCGGCCAAGATGACCCTGTCTTTTTGACAGGATACATAAATAAATGACCACAATTAGAATGAAACTAAAGTTTTTCGCCATTACGTTTCAGGAGGACAAGCATCTCTTTTCGCATAACGTTTTTGCTTGTAAGGCTAGTACGTTCAAGTTATCGTAGTCTTATTTCTAACATTTTGCGCGTTCAGAAGACAGGCAAGACCTAGATAAAATTTCTTTGTCCGATCCGCGCAACGAGCGACAGTTCAAATTTATTTTGAGGGACACACGCCGTCTTTGGGCAAAACATCTGCAGCGTATCATAATAATTATTGGTACTGGATATCCTGTTTTACTGGTGCCATCCTTATTCTTCCGCTAACTTGAAAAAGTAGGTTGGAGATCGTCTGAATTGCAAAAAGAACACTCAACGATCGGAATCTGAAGATACCATATATTTATTAATCAGTACTCTTTTCGCTATTATCATATTTTTTTTTTAATATAGAGTACCGCACAAACCTGCTGGCCAAGGCTTTCCGGGGGGTGGACCATATAAAATGGGCGGTGCTGTTGCCGGCGGTCCAGGAGGTCCCGGTGGACCACGAGCACCCGGATCTCCAACCGCTCCTGGGGAGCCTTGATTTCCCGCAGCTCCTGCCGCTCCAGTCGAGCCACTCGCTGCAGCAATTCCTTAGTTGTTAAGAGAGCGTGGGGAAATGAATTATGATTTATACTTTTAGGCATACAGCCAACTCTCTCCAAGACTGACACCTTTGGGACCGGCACAAAGTGTCCGTCTTATGGAGATGTCCGTCTTATGAAGCGTCAAATAAAGGGAATAAGCAAAGGCAGGGACCAACTCTATAGGTGTCCGTTTTACAGAGGTGTCCGTCTTATAGAGGTGTCCGTTAAGAGAGTCGACTGTATTTTTGAATTTACTCATGCGTTGAGCAGATCTGTGTTGGCAACATGCAATATTGACCTTTTATTAAATAAAAAGAGAGTCGCCAATTATTCAAGATCCCTCGTCATGCGGACCATTTTTGGTTTCAAGTGCGTAATTTGAAGAGTACAAATGGTGACCTGAGCAGCAAATCCTTGCTCCGTTAAAAAGAAAGGAAAAACGTATTTCTTAGAACAGAAGTTCCGGTTACCTCCAGATGCAGCAGCATCATTCTGTTTGCAGCAGTCGCTGCGACATGAGCTAATGCAGATAGTCTCACAAATCTCTGGACATGGCGCGATGGCTTGAGTACCTGGAACTCCGGGTAGTCCTGCTGGTCCTGGAAGACCCGGGGGACCTGGAAGACCCTGGTCTCCCGGGATGCCCATCTCTCCGATAGCGCCCACGGGGCCGTTTTCACCAGGAACTCCTTTTGGTCCTGTTATAAAACGAATAGTTATTTGTTCATAGATAGTGGAATTGTTGTTGAATAGCTGCCCAAGCTGTGGTTTATAGACAATCCACTGAAAAATATCAGAAACAACTCGAGCTAACGAACTCCCCGATTGCTAGTCAAACGGGATTTACATTAGGGAACACTGAACCGTAAGGGCCTAGTACTTTTCCAGAGTTCGAAGTGAATACACTTTGCATCCATGTATATACAGTCATAGTACCAATGTCATGGCACAAAACGGCACAAGGCGTGAAAATGAATAAGGTTCAAGTGGTTTCAGGCGACCAGAACGTAACCATCTCTTTATCGAGTAGAAAATAGCGACAGGATAGTGACAGGCTTTCGACCCCCCCCCCCCCCCCCCTCCCCACCAACTAAAAAACTGTTGAAATCCAAATGACAAACATGTCAAAAGGACAGGTCTTTAAAAAAAAAAAAAACATTAAATCCTCGTTTAATTTTTGCAAAGTATCCCAAATTATTCCATATTGTGAAAAAGAAGTGACCTTACGTCAACTTCTGTTCTTTCAAGATAATCAACAATCACCCGCTCGAGGTCGAACTGCATATGTTTGTTTGATTTTTTGGCTCCGATAATTAATGTTGGGTTGTATTGTGGTTTGATCTGCTCGCCTGAAGAACTTTAGGGAATCTTCATAACTTGCTGGGTAGAGGTTGAGTAGATTAAAAGCTAAAGCTAACAAACTACGCCATAATATAAGCCGCTGACTGTCAGAGACATTTCGATCTAAACAACTTTGACAAGTTTCCTTGCAGCTTACCCATTGGTCCTGTTTGGCCTGCTGGTCCCGGGGGACCAGGGGGGCCCGGGTATCCCATGTCGCCTAGTTCACCCATACTTCCAGGTTGTCCTGGACTTCCAGAAGACCCAGGAATGCCTTAATAGAAGAGAAATATTCGTGAAGATGATTTACCGATAACTGAAAATTAGCTTTCGCACCATACAACCATCTCGTCTAAACAGAACAAAGTAATAAAGGAAGCCCCCTCCCAACCCCCTTTTCAGCGTTGCTTTGTTCTAGAAACCAAGGCGTATAATTCTGGTGTTACCCTTAACGGATAAGGGAAGGGAGGAAAACGGTCATTCACTGGCATTGCCACTTTATTTGGTGACAGGCATTTTTGTTATGTGTGTAAACACGTTTTTTTCTGAGCTGGTATCGTACTTACCAGGCGGACCAGCTAAGCTACCAGGGGCTCCAGGCAGTCCTGGGGGTCCTGGTAGCCCGGGAGGACCCGGCATTCCCTTAGGCCCGGTTGGCCCAGGAGGTCCTGCCGGGCCTACAGGGCCATCAGGTCCTGGTGGTCCAGGCTGTGGCGGAGGAGGAGGTGGGGCAGGAGCTGGGGGTATGGAGTAAGGGTTACAGCAGGTATCAGAACATTCTGGTGAGCAGTAAGATGGACAGCTGTAGCCGCAAGGGAAAGCTTCACGTTTGAAATCTGAAAATAAAGAAAACACTAGAAATTACTGGAGGTACTAGATCAGAGGTGGAAGACAGGATCGGATTTAGAAGGGCTAGTCTTGCTAGCCATTTCCACGTTACCGCAAATTACCAGCAAGCCCGTTTGTCCTGTGGTGGCCAACACATGGACGCCTAGTGTCTACATTTATAGACTGGGCGGCCAGTCGACTAGCTCGGCTGAGGTCGCCTGAATGAATGGATGACTAATTGTGGTTACTGTTCGCTCCTGAAGAGTTGATAACGAGGTTACATGAAATGTGACTGGATCGTGTGATAGAGATAAGAGAAAGGTTTGACGTAGATTTTCTAGTCTGGGTGTAGCGTTAAAACAATATAATGTGGTGATTTCACCCTGAAGCATAAAGCAGTAGTCCATAAAATCAGTCGACTGATTGGGAAAATGTTTCAACCGTTGATACATTATTAATGGCCACTGCGGTAAATAACTGATTTTTAGCTTAAATTTGTGCAGTTTTTGAGGGAAGGGAAAGACAGGCATGATTGTTTTGTTGACAGTCAACTTAATATTTGGATAGCAGAATGTTGGCAGGATCGGAAATTCCTCATGCGAGCCCTTTTTCCAGGATGCACATGCCTTTTATGATAACCAAGTCTTTGAGCCAATGATCAGATATCCAACAAAATTTTACTACATTTTTTATTCGTCAGCCATGAATCAGGTCATGTATAAAACATATTTGTTATATTTTACACGATAGAATTTGGCGGCTTTAAATTTATTGAAAGCCATTTGAAAAGCTCTTAAGATTTCCTCTCCCTGGGTTCCTGCAAAAGCGGGATGTCTATTTATAACCTGCGGGTTTTTGTTTTTGTGAATTGGCCGTAGCTACCTAGCGCCAGCTAAACCTGCTGTTATTGTTACAGCAGCTTGTAAGTTGACAATCACATCCATGTCGCATTTGAATTTTAACCCTGCTAGGGTCGTGCTTAATATAAAGTTAACGTCCAGATGCTAATCTTAAAGCGGTTCGGGGCGCAATTGACTTCTCTACCTCTTTTTATTAGGAAAGGGGAAACAGATTATTTATGTTGCTTTTATAACTTTAAACGCTTGATATTGCATGTTTATCATGAATCTGACTTACCTTCCTTGATTGCGTGAGGATTTGTGAGGGTAACATTGATCATAAGCCATGTTAAATACGAAATAAGGGACCATTTCGTCCAGTCCATACGCGATAGTTGCTCTACAGTAAAACAAAAGGTACAATCATTCACTTTGATACTTAACAGAAATCTTAACTAAAAAAAAAATATCTAGTCAAATGTTTATATTACAAAGAAAATTCTAATTTTTCTCTAAAAAAAGAGTACAAAAAAATTACGCTATTTTTGTCGTCAGCCGTTTGAAAAATGGCCAATTCAAAACGCTAACATAATAATAGTGTGTTTGAAACTTTCGAGAAGTTTAGACAGTTAGACAGCAAACGGACCAGAATAGCTGCTTTTAAGATGAGCGTTGACAATAACAGGCAAACTTACTTTGTGCCGTTTTCCCCCAAAATTCGGCTTCGAAAACTTTAAATATTCCTTTATAAAGTTCTTTTGGCTAAAATCTACTAAGTCAGCTCTTCGACTTATTGTTTCAAGCCTTAGTTTAAATTTTTAATAAACTTCGAGATATTTTTCTTTGTATAATGTTAACCATAAATAGCTTACCCTTATTTGTTTGATTCTGGTACCATAACAGGTATTTAAACAACTGAATTCTCCCAGGATTACCAGGTACATGATTGGAGAATTCATGGATTGATCATATAAACCATTTTTGAAATGATCAATTCATTCCTTCTCATTACTATTTGCGCCTGTAACGCTTTCTAAGTAAGATGAGGAGAAGATGAGTTTTGATCCTTTTGTTTAACTCTTCAGTCTGCGCTCTTCTTCATGTAAGGGAAAAAAGGTCTTGACATGTAAATAATTATAGCGTCAAAAAGGATCCCCAGATTAAGGAAATAGGCAAGAGATTGAGTTTTTATCGTAAGATAACTAATATCGTTTTCTATCACTTGAACAAAGGTTTTATTTTTGTTTCGTTCGAAAGAAAGAGAAAACGTTCTGTGTAGATTGCTTAAGGCTGCAATCTCACGTGGGAAGGAACTCATTAACGTTTTTTTGATTATGTTTGACAGCCGGAGGATACTGCAATTACACTACCTGCTCAAAAATTCAGCAAAAAGGCTTTTCCAAATAACCGTTCGGATTATCGATGGTCTGGCTGCCTAAAATTACGGCAGCACCTATTGGACCAGTTTGCTTAAAAGCCAAAAGTGTACCATTAAAATAAGAGCTTGACCAGGTTCTTGAGGTAAAGGAACTAATCTAATTTTCGTTTCTTATTCTCATATAATTATTCTTTCGTTAAAATATTCGCCGTTCTCTGAAATATCTCAGTTTGCAAAACATGCATTTACTAGCCAACTGAAATAATTTGTGAAAAGAGTTCGTTCCTGGAAAATCACCAATAAGTCATAAAGAGTAATCTTCATTTTACTGATTGACACGACGGATTTTGCCCAGCTGCCAACCAAAGCTAATAGATACTGTAGCTGATAACAATAATTGGAATGAGTAATACATTTTTCTGGCCAAACTTATTTATTTGAGCTCTTTGTGCAAGACTAATTCACTGGCCTCTAAGACAGGAATAGGATTAATTAATGAGGTAAGGTAAATTTAGCAGATACATTTTCTCGGTGTCATGACTTATAGTGCCATTTAATTTAAAAGTGACATTCTCTTTTAACAAGTTAATATACGTATAGAAGATTCAACATCTGTCATAGAAGAAATAATAATTTTAAATTGTTAGAATATAAATGACCCAGGCTTTTCAGAATAATTTAAGTGTGCGCATAAGAAGCTATGAGACATTACACCCCCATACAGAAAGAAGCTAAAACGTAGATTAGGCGAAAAAGCCAAAGCATGAGGTCCACTTCATTTGCATTTCGGGCAGGTCTTCTCTTTCTTCTTTTCTGTTGCCACCAACTTTAAACAAGAAGCAGGACGAAAACATCCTTTACAGACATGATTTTGGTAAAGAGGGCGAAAGGGAAGATCGTATAAAACATTTTGGTATGTCGATTTTTTCAGATAATTTGGATACAATTAGATGCTTTCTGCAAATTAACTGTACCGTTCAGTATATTATATGTATATATAACTGTGAGAAAACTGTAAACAATAGATACTTTATACAGCTATAACAGCACTTTAAGCTACTTAAAATAGGATAGGATCAAATACAAAGGTGACTATAACGCAAATATTGATCTAGACGCTTATAGACGGTTTAAATTCCGAAGAGAAGAATTAGACAAAATAAACTCAAAAATTGGTACGAGCTCAGTTTAGCCACTCATTTACCGGCGTGGCAAACCAACTACGCGACAGACAAGCCACGCGAACGACTTCGTAAACGCTAAAAGCCATGCAAGAGAGAAACCTCTTTTCGCAGGGTACCACTCATTTTAAGAATGTATTAAACGATGTTAGCTACAAACCTTTTTTGCTTTATTCACTTACAATTTTACAAGTGTCTTTTTCTTTTAATTAAAATCGTTTCAAGTGCTTTTATGAAAGCACTATTCTATAAAATTTCATGTGACGGCGCCAAAGAGTTTTTGCACTTAAAAAACGAGAGATGCCCGTTAGGCTAGTTGGACGTCAGAGCTTGTACCATGCAGGGTTCGCTAGCCTACACGTCCTGGCGACAAGCCGCTGACCACAGAGCCTAGATTACAGCGCTTCTGGCTACTTAGCCTGTTTCAGGCGTTTAGATAGTCAATTTAACTAGCTCACCACTAACCGCCGCGCTCTAATATTTGAAAGCCTTAACCAGGCTATTGGCTACTTAACAATTTGGAGAGTCATTAGGGGTGTTTATTATTTTTCCGGCGAAGAAATAGCCTGCGTAGCATGGCGGTTTTGTCGGGCGCACTACTGAGCGTTGAAGACGCAAATGCGCGCTCGCTAACGAGCGTTGCTCCCGCCCCAATCTCCTCGCAGTTTCACTGCCCCCACCTTGGTATGTTTGCACGCCTGACCAAAACCGCCATGCTAGGCAGCCTAGCGAAGAAACAGCTGGGTAATTCCAATTTTTTTTACAAAATGCTTTCTAACTGCAAAACGGTCTACTAGTCGAATTTTTAACAATTATTCGTCTAGCCCGAATGGGCTCTGCGTCAATAGCCCATGAGGCCGAAGGCCAAATGGAGTGCCATATGACCTACTTTTCTATTTATGTTGCAGTAGAGTCGTGACACCAAAAACAGGTTCAAAACCAAAATGCTGTGGAACACGCTCACACGATTATGCCTCAGAACTGTGTTGCCAAGGAAACATTTATCCAAAAGACGGTCTACGGCCAGGCTGCTGCGGAAGTATTGCATTTGATGCTGAATTCTTCTTGTGTTGCGCTGCAGATCACATTTCACCCAAGAGAGGAACGAACCCAAGGTGCTGCGGAACCCAAGGATATGATCCTGCAATCGAAAGATGTTGTCCTGGCTATGTAGTCGTTAAAGGTCTTCAGTGCCCTTGAGCCCTGTTTATGTAACCAAAAAACGAATGATTATAAATATTTGTAAATTTAAGGGTGGAAGGGTTTTTTATGTCAAAATTAAAGGGGTAATATTCAGTCGTCGTCCGTTATTCTGAAGCTTACTACAATCACGCATCTTGGGTATCACAAACTGTCATTCGGAATGAGCATTGAAATTCAGGAGAAAAAAAGGCTAAATAAATGTTAGAAGACATTTCTTTGAGTTTCTTTCTTCCTGTACGTTGTAGCACTCTTTTTCCAAAGACGCTTATTTCATAAGCTGACTTTCTACATTCAGGTTATAATTACCTTGTAATAAATATTAAGGCAAAGAATTTCATGCTCAGGCTTAAGTCACCAGCAAACTGAAAGAGCGAGTTTCAGTGATTATTAACTTGCGTCAGTAATTCAATAAAACCCAAG